CCGGGGTACCAGGTACTGCTCCCACTGCTCCCAGCCCGCCTCCGGGGTACCAGGTACTGCTCCCACTGCTCCCAGCCCGCCTCCGGCATGCCAGGTACTGCTCCCACTGCTCCCAGCCCGCCCCCGGCATGCCAAGTACTGCTTCGCCTTCGCTGCTTCCACCTGTTCAGGTTCGCTTTTAAGCTCTTCCAGGACAAACCTCAACTTCACAAGTTCTGCATTCAGAACTTGTATTCACTGTATGCTTCCTTCAGGCTTTTACTGAACTTTTGCTTTTCATAATACATCCTCTCTTCCAATCTTAGTCTTTTAAAGAATGTATTAAAAAGGGGACCCAGCCAGCTTCAGACCTTAGGTGTGCTCACTGGTGCTGTTCCATCTCTTTGGGGACAAAACCAAATGCATGTCTATTTTTAAGGAGATGACCGCATCTATGCTGCACTGCTTGCAAAACTGAAGGAGTTGCTGGTGAGGAGGGCATCAGATGGAGATCCTCCAGCACCTTTTCTGGACGGACAACGGTACTATGAACAGGTTGTGCTTTCCTTCTTTTAAGTAAATATTAAAAAGTTGACAATTTTCAATACCATTTCAGTGGGAAAAGAGACATCTTAAAAAAAAATCCTACCAGAGGTTCCTATGCCTGTTTGTATCCCATTCAAATCACCAGGTGTTCCCCCTAAGTTTTTTCTGCACTTTCCCCAAGCATCTAGTGATGTTTTCCAGTTCCCTCTCAGGTCTCCTTAGGACCAGATAAAAAAGAAGCAGCCTATCCTTACAGTTAACTTTCAAGCCAAGTTGGTTTTTTTGGCCAGCTGACTGGCCAAACACAATGCACTGTGTTTTCAGTTACCAGGGGTACTGATCCCTGACCCAGACACAGCTTTCGATCTTTGTTCCCCACTTAGCCACCAGTTTTGATGAAACTTGTTGAAACATGTCATCTTCGAGATTCCTGTCCCTGCCCACTTCAGCTAAAATTGGTCATCCATATCTTTGAAAGCAAATGCTCAGGGAACAGTGTAAGACTGGCCGGCGGGTGAACTTAAACCTCAGCTTCTTGTGAAAATTAGAACTTAGTTCAGGAACATGAAAAAGAATGTAGTACAAGTACTGATTCAGGTATTTTCCAGTGTAACGTGCATGGATTCAGTACTGTTTACGCTGCAGCAGTTGCACAGTGTAAATCAGTCTCAGGGTTTGCAGCAAGAAGAGCATTAACTCACTCAGGGTTTCTGCTTTCTGGGCCCTGTCCTTAATGTTTTCATTAATGAATTACCTGATTTTGGCATGATCAAGACTAACTCCATGGAGCATAAGAGCTGGGTTTCTTGACAAGCTGGCTTGGATGTCCATGATATATATATACATCCCTAAATTTATTCTTTGAGCCAGTTTTAATGTTCAGATTTTTTTAAATATATGTCTGCAGTGCCTAAAAATGCACATGCTCATAGTAATGTACTTTTATATGTTAGAAAAAAACACTGCCTAATCAGAGCCATATGTCTCCTTCTTATAGCACTAAATTCTCAGGAAATGTAAGAATAAGTGTGCCTCCAGTACTTCTTTTTCTGATATTCACAACAGCTAGTTGTGAAAAGGAACTGTTTCCATCTCCCCCCCCCCACCCCTGAGTTCTTTAAAAAAACAAAGCCCACACAGTCATAAGGGGTAGGTCCCAAGACAATTAGTGGTTTAGACAACAGCTTGGACAGTATTAACAAGGGAGGATTTGTCATTGTGATGACATTTGACTTACTGTTGAACTATTGCTTGGTTTTAAGCTTTTGCAGTCTGACACTGTTTTATCAAAATATACAGAAAATTTGAAGGAAAAATATAGAGAAGAACATTTTAATTTCAATATTGTTTTTACTTAGTATGCATGCATAAAAATATTTTAGTAAGGACACAAGGCTCAGTTAACTGTTACACTGCAGTTGTTTAACAGTATTTTTAAATATAGTTTTTTCTTAATGCAGAAGCAAATACTCCCTAAGATTCTTTCTTAGAAATGGAAGTATCTCTGCTGCTGCAGTTGATGCTTTCATAAGAAATGTGGGGTAGACAGATGGGTCCGTAAAAGTCTTAGGTGTCTGAGTTCATTAGTCTTTGTGAAACCAACCCTTAGCTGAGATGTAAAAGCAGACCTAAGTTAAGGGATGTCAGATAGATAGGGCAGGGACTCTGAATTAGATTTTATCTCCTTAAACTAAAAAGATGGTGTTTTGGAAGAGGGCAAGAAAGTTTTTCAGAATGTCTTTTGGTTATCCAACTTTCTTGTGGCTGTTGACTTACTCTGTTTCTGTTTTCTGCCAGTTCTATGGTTCAAATTTTTTGGTTTTTGTTCATAAGGGAAATGCTACAGGTTGAAAAACTGTACGGCTGTATATATTGGAGAGTTAAGCTGCTGTATTAGTCTTCATTCTGTGTAGTTCGTTGTTTGATTTGTCTTTCCCAGGGGTTGTATGAAGAAGCATTAACACAATTTAAAAAAATTGAGGATACAGATTTTCAAGCCATGTATCAGCTTGGTGTAATGTATTATGATGGACTAGGCACTGAAAAAGACCCTGTGAGTAATCTAGCTGCACACGTTTTACTTTTCTTCTAATATTAGCTGATAATTACTAAGAGCTTATTTGTAAGCATGATTGTTTAGTTTAAAATAAACAGCTTTTTGATTTAGAATTAGTTTCATAAAGTATAGATGTTTACAGAGCATCATTAAAGAGACAGGGTTCTGGGTTGAGGAATTTCTCAAAAATGGCTATAATAAAATAGATGTATCTGAAAAATATGGTAACTTGTATTTTAAAATGTAACTTCTAAAGGCTTGATTGTACTTTGTGTGGAAGCTACATTTAAGGATTGCTATTAATTTGTTACTTTTTAATAAGCAGTTCATATAAATGAAAATAAAGTGCGTAAAAATGGAAATCAAACTATTATATTTCAAAACATAAAACATCTGTTCCACAAAGACTTTTTAACAGTACTTTCTATTCTTTTAGCACAGATGGTAAAGATGATTGTGCTTCTGTCAGTGGTTGACAGTAATATTTTTAAATTAGACAAATGAAAAATTACATTTGCAAGAAGTTGAAGATTTCAAACTGAATAATTATATTACAAAAAAGGAAGACAAAGGAATGATTTGATACATTAGGAGTTAATTTATCAGTAAAGGTGATCTTAAAGAGTGGCATGAGGAAAGAATACAAGCAGGATGAAAGAAAGGGTAAATCACAAGACAGGAGGCCAAAAAAAAAAATTAACCAAACAGTATATTAACAAATGGGAGTCTTGTCTGGTGCTTACAGGATTGTCAGCAGAAGGGAAAATATTCTGCTGGGGTTTAGAGGTGGTTCATTTGTTCTGTATGCCTGCATAATTACCACATGTATTTACTTGCAAATAAACATTTTAGCAGAGTTTCTTCCTTGGAAGTTGAATAACTGAGAAACCTTTTATAAAGCACTGTTTCTAGTGTGCCCAGGTGGCCAAGAAGGCCAATGGCATCCTGGCCTGTATCAGGAACAGCGTGGCCAGCAGGTCCAAGGAAGTGATTCTTTCCCTGTACTCAGCGCTGCTGAGGCCACACCTGGAGTACTGTGTCCAGTTCTGGGCCCCTCAGTTCAGGAAGGATATTGAGGTCCTGGAGCAGGTCCAGAGGAGGGCAACTAGGCTGGTGAAGGGAGCTGGGGCTGTTCAGCCTGGAGAAGAGGAGGATCAGGGGAGACCTCATCACTCTCTACAACTGCCTGAAAGGAGGTTGTAGCCAGGTGGGGGTTGGTCTCTTTTCCCAGGCAACTATCAGCAAGAGAAGAGGGCATGGTCTCAAGTTGTGCCAGGGGAGGTTTAGGTTAGATATTAGAAAGAATTTCTTTACAGAGAAATTGGAATGTCCAATCAGACATTGGAATGGGCTGCCCAGGGAAGTAGTGGATTCTTCGTCCTTGGAGATTTTTAAAACGAGACTGGATGTGGCACTTAGCGCCATGGTCTAGTAACCGCAGCAGTAGTGGATCAAGGGTTGGACTTGATGATCTTGGAGGTCCTTTCCAACCCAGCTGATTCTATGATTCTATGATTCTAATCTAAGGTATTTTAAATGAAGGGACTTGAAAGTGTACTACGTATCACTTTGCCTTCTGTTAAGACTGTCTTATGATTTCAGATACATTATGCAATATGAAAAAGTTCACAGAATTCTGAAATTGGAAGTGTTGCAAGTTTAGGATGCAACATGCATTTATGTAAGCAAAATAATATTTTTTAGAAAAATTTTATCAGTGAAGAAGAGTAATATAATACCAGATGAACATTTATGAGGAAATGTTTCACATTAAAAATATGTTGGGGTCAAAGATCTAGGGGCTATTAACTAAAGATCAGTTCTACTTTGGTATGAAATATTTTCCTACCAGTATGCCTCAGCCTTTCTTCAGAGTGGAAAAATTACCTTTCTTGCAGAAGTTAGTGTGTTCTCATATTCTTTATTTCATCCTCTTCACAGTCTGAACATAATAACTTCAATGGCTTAATTTTAGGAAAGGGGAGTGGAATACATGAATAAAATACTCAGCTCTGATTCTCCAAAAGCAAGACACCTGAAGGTTGCAGCTGCATACAATCTTGGCAGGGCGTATTACGAAGGATGTGGTGTTAAGCATTCAACCGAAGAGGCTGAAAGGTAAGGGCAGTCAGTGATTTTCCTGACAAATTATAAGATTCTGTGTTACTTAAACTTTGTTGTCCCCATTTTCTTAGGTTGTGGCTTATTGCTGCAGACAATGGAAACCCAAAAGCAAGTGTAAAGGCCCAGAGTACTTTAGGAATGCTTTATTCTATGCCAGTTCTAAAAGATCTGAAGAAGGTAAAGTCCACTTGTACCTTTCGAAATGAAAATGAGTCCAAATTAATTTTTAATTTTATGGAAATATTACAGTGATATATTTGATTCTGAAAGATGTATTTTAAGTAGTTCGGCAACATTTAATGTTATCCATTTAAGCCTGTATGAAAGATGGCCAGAATCCCTCATTTTGACTCACTTGATGCTGCTAGCCAAGATTTATTTTTTTTTTTTTTAGTGAGAGTATCAGGAAGAATGATAGAATGGATTAAAAGTTTTGTCACCTTTGGTAACCTTCAGAAATCAAGCAGGTGTCACTCATTGACAGCTCTGACAGTAAATGGAGCAGGTTTAAAAGCCTTACAAGGATTCCGCTTTCTTTTATGTATAAGCACTTCTTACAGGATGTTTGGTATAAAAGCTTTCATGGAAACAGTATACAAGGAAAGCAGCTAAAGTAAATATATACTGCAACTTTGTGTCTCATTTAGGCCTTTTTCTGGCATTCAGAAGCATGTGACAATGGAAATCTGGAATCACAGGGAGCACTTGGCATTATGTATCTCTATGGACAAGGTATACGTCAAAACACTAAAGCTGCTTTGAAGTGCTTGAGAGAAGCAGCAGAACGTGGAAACATCTATGCTCAAGGCCATCTTGTAGAATATTATTACACTAAAAAATTTTACTCAAAAGCTGCTGCCCTAGCCAAAAGGTGAAGTTAATTTTGCTTTATTTTTCATTATGGTTCATGCAAGACCACAAAACCCATATTAAAATTATTAATAAGTTAATGCTCTTGTCTTTCAAACTCAAGAGATCTTTGAGATAATGAATTGCAAAACCTCACCTTTAAAGATGGAATAGCCAATCACAAAATGAATACTATAAGGTTCTCAATTACTCAGTATGGTTAAATTTTTCTTTCAGCAAAACAGCCTTGAACTAGAATCCAAAGTAGATGTCCACACGCAAGCCTGCCTTTCTTGTCTCTTCAGTCCATGATCTCCTCTAGGCTCCTGCCTTCACCATTCCCTTTAAACACCTACCAATCATAGACTCCTCAGGTTGGAAGGGACCTCACAGATCACCTGGTCCAACATTTCTTGGCAAAAGCACAGTCTAGACAAGATGGCCCAGTGCCCTGTTCAGCTGAATATTAAAAGTGTCCAATGTTGGGGAATCTGCCACTTCCCTTTACCTGCTTTTCCATTTCTGCTATGTTCTCTCTTGGTTTTGAGCAGGCTCAGAAGCTCGCAGTTAAGCCAAGGGGGTCTCTTGCCCCACATACTTTCCTTACCCTTAAAGGGAATGAATGATTTTTGTGCTTCCAGGAGAGCATTCTTGAAAACCTTGTCTTAGTACTATGTCTCAGTGAGCTCAGCAGGATCCCAGATCCACAATATTGTCATCACTGCAGCCAAAGCTATCACTAACTGAGATATTACAAAGCAGATTTTCTTGGTTTGTGAGGAACAAATCCAACAGTGCCTCATTCCTAGTTGGCGCATCTGACATTTGTATGAGGAAGCAGTCCTCTACTGCTCCATGCCAGGAACTGGATGGATGTCTTGGGAGTTGCTGTATTCTTCTATCTTATATCTGGGTAGTTAAAGGTCACCCAAAAGAACCAGGTTCTGTTACCCAAAACTTATTAAGTGACCCAAATATTGCCTTGTTGGTCTCATTGTCTTGGTTTGGAGGTTGGTAGCAGATGCCTGATGCAAGATGCCTCTTGGAACTGACCCCTCTGATCTTGACCCAGAAGCATTTGGTAAGGCTTCTAAAATTGTCATAGTTGACTTCTATACATTCAAGTTCTCCTTAACACAGAGCACGATTCCTCCTCCTCCTCTTCTTCCCTTCCTGTCTTTACAAAGCAGCTTAGAGCCATCCATGTGATGCTCCTGCCATGTGAGTTGTTCCACTACATTTCAGTTATTCCTGATTGCATGGCTTTCTGACTGGGTGCAGAGCTCCAGTTCTTCCTGTTTGTTCCCCAGGCTGTGTGCACTGTATACATACACTTGTGGTGGTTGGTCTTCTGGTTCACATCTTGGGAGGCAGCTAAAGAATATCTGTTGCTGCTCTGGTTGGCTTGATTTATTCCTCATTTGGTTGCAATGGTGCAGGTGCTACCACTTTGAGCCCAAAGTGCCCCCAAGTCCTTCTCTTTAAAGCTTGCCTCATGAGGTTAGCTAAAGATTCCCTTGCCTCTTTAGCCAAGCGGATCCCATCCCTCCCTAATGGGCTGTTGTCATAAAATCCAAAACAGTCGTGACAGCACCAGCCAGAAAGCCAGAAGTTTATTTATTTATTTATTTATTTTGGCTGCATCCTTCCACCTAACTGGTAAAATGGAAGAAAAGGTAACCTGGCACACTTTTTTGTACACCTCCAGGCCTTTGTAGTTTTCCTTGATTCTGTGGTGTCACTTGTGCCCACATGAGAGAGTAGCAAAGGGTCTGTGCTCTTGAAAGCTGTGGCACCCTCCCAGCAACATCTCGGACCTCAGCTCCTGGACAGCTGCACACCCTTCATGAGTCCCCCTCAGGCTGGCAGATGGGAACCTCAGTGCCCCTTCATAGAGAGTCACCCAAGCACTCCACACTGATTTTTCTGGTATCCACTGTGAACTCCTCGTAGAGTTTCTCCTTGCAGACTTTGCTTTTGGGTGTCTATAGCAGATAAAGCTTCAGATCTGACTTTGGTTGCAATGCTGCAGGGTGGTAAAGTCCTGCTTTTGTGGATCACCAGGGTCCAAGGTGTCTCATTCTCTGTGGTGTCCGCCACAGGAGCATGATTCCGAAACCACTTATCTGTCTCAGCATTTCTAATACAAAGAACACAAGTATTCTTCCACCCTCCACCTACCCCATCTCAATATAACTTCTATCCACTGCCTCCCATCCATCATTTCCTTGCTCTGTGGCTCAGTGTACTTTGGTCTGGTTCAGGAAATGCAAGCATTGATACTGGTGGGATCCTACAGTAAGCATCTAAGCAGCACTGCCTGGGACTTAGAAGCAGCTGCTGCACACAGTGCCAAGTTATCACCCTTGAGCTCTTCATCAGTTGCTGCTTACGAGGATGCATACTGTACAGGCACTTTTAAGCCTGTACCACAAAACGGGCATCTGCAGGCAAATGGTTTCTGGTGATTATCTGAGCCCCAGTTAGGCAGCACTGACTGGCCTTTTCACAGGCAGTCACTGTGGGACACATTGCTCTACCTACACACTCTGGAGTGGCTTGTGTATTGAAGAAATAGCGGCTTTTGTGATAGGCTGCAGTATTTAAAATAGTCTGTATCACGATTCTGTATCTTGAACTAATCAGGGAGAACAACAGCAATGTTGGTGCCAGTTCTACAGCTGATAAACAGCACATTTCTGTGACAAACCTCCAGAGCTCAGTGTATAAATTCAATCTGTCAGTCAGATTATTGATTTACTGGAAATAAGCTGCAGATAGACAGACTACTTGCACAAGCTGCACACAATAGCATTCATGCCTCTTGGGGTATGTTTATGAAACTGCTGCTGCCTGGCAATAAACAAATAACAACTTACCATCTTACAGAAGCTGCACCCTGTATATGCCACTGCATAGCAGAAGCTCTGGTAATTCAGAAGTTCAGTTATGAATGCTGTTTGGTATACTCTTTGCTGGAAGGGATTGTTTCTCTCTGAATTGCTGCTTTTCTTTCTTTTACACTGTAAGTAGACCGACAGCTATTCAGTCTAGTCTAGCCTGTCTCACTTGGAATGAATCCCCTCCGGTAGATTATTCAGACAAGTAAACTGTGCACTTCATCAGCTGCAATTGTGATTGCACAAAATAGCAATGAAATCCCACAGTACAGTCAGAAGTGACAATTTCTGAACCAAAAGATACTGCCACCATTAGAATTGCAGTTGGCCTTGAGGCAAAAATCTCAGTAGTTCAACCAGTAGTATCAAGTACCAATACCTTTTCTGCTAAAATTTGTCCTTTTATATTCATACCAACTACATAGTTTGTTACATTGTGTATAAGCATACAAACATTATGTGATTATGTACAGTATAACCTTGCCTAATGTTTGAAGTCTGGATTAGCTACTGATACTTCACTTCAAATAATTCAGTTATCCCATATGGTTCTACTTACTCATTTCTGCGGTATGTTCTTGAAGTCTTTGCCTGACTTGACTGGATATTGTTATGTGCATCAGCATCCTGTGGTGTATCTTTTGGAAAGGAAGCAAAAATGCTATGCATCAGGAAAGATGAGATAATTGGTTACTGTTGTCATATTTTAATGTTCTGGCTACTAAAAACAGTTGTGTTTCTGTATTTGTTAATAGGACCAAATTAGGTGAGAGAACATTGCTCTCAACACATTCAAGTGATTTAGCAGGCACTGGCTTGAAGAGGGCTAATTGGGAACAATATCCTAGTAAGGACTTGGAATTTTAGAATCGTAGAATCATGGAATGATTTGGGTTGACCCTTTATAGATCATCTAGTGGCAGCCCCCTTGCTGTGGGCAGGGACATCTTCTACCAGATGAGGTTGCTCAATTACAACTGCCTTTCTTCCACATATAATTTCCATGAAATAATTTAATAGGAACAATTAGTGTAAAATACGTTGCCTTTTATAACCAGTATGACTACAATAAATGTGACTTCAAAAGTTATATATTTGTTTGCTGTTTAATATCACCACATTCAAATAAGACTAACTTTAAATCAAATACCGAATAGAAAAATCCTCATAAGAGGCTGAATAAATGTAAATTTCAGCTTACTTTGGATAATATCAGAAATGGAAAGGAGGCATTGTCAAGGTTATATATGATCAACTTTAATTATAGCTTGAACTAGCACTATCTAACCTAATGCTCTAAATTCCACAATAGGACTACAGAAAACAATGACATCAATATGCTAGCCAAGAAAGCTGATTGCCATCCAACATATGTAGCCAAGGGGGTTGCTATGGCTGCTTTCTACTTGGCTAGATGCCTCCAGCTTGGCCGAGGCATAAAGCAAGATCAAGATGCTGCTAAAAAATACTATTCTAAGGTAAGCTGAGAAAGTCTTACAGACTAATTAATATCTCATGAAACTGAGCGATACCTTGGATTTGAGTCTTTCAACTTGCTGTTCTGTTAAAAATTCCAGCATTATTTGTATTAAAAAAAAATCTGTGCAAGAAAAGGTATAGTGATAAAGTATATTGAAAACTACTAAAAATTGTCTTGAAAGGATGCTATCTGGCCACTTGCTTAAGCAAACAAAGCATTCTACAAAACCAACAAAAAAAAATCCATGGTAATCACCACAGCAAAGAGCTTGGTAACTTGAAAGATAAATTAGCTATAACAATTTGAATAATTCTATCCCAAATCAATTTGCTTTCTGTCATTCTCTAAAACTGAAATATCATTACTTTTCCTCTACTTTAGATTCTCTAACAATTATAACTTTCATTAATGTAACTTAAATTGGCTATAACTGGTTCTCATGCTTATTTTTATAAATACATTTTTAGCAATAACTGAGGATCTACTGCTTTCTCTGTTCACTATACACAGGGAAAAAAACAGTCACATTTTTTCAATGTTTAATCTTGGAGTAAGATTTATTGCTTGAGGAAAAATATCAGTAATTGCCTCTAGAAGATGAATCTGTGAAGTAATATCTGTAATGCCTAAAGGTACATCAAGGCTGGGTGATTATACCAACCGAAGGGAGCATAGAAAATTTGCATTTGTGCTTTAGAGAGACTATGATTTCTGTTCATGTAGTGACCATTTGTTTCTGCAAGTAGAATACTTTGATTTCCAGCTTGATGCAATCTAAACAAATGGAGAGTTACGTAAATGATAAATTATCAAATAATTTTTGTGGCTCCTGACTCAGGGAAGCCACTGGTATGAGGGTCTTAGCAAGGCAGGTGATCTTCTGAATACAGACATTTTAAACATTTTTGTTCTCCTGCTGTGTTATAGAGGATAGGATGAGGAAAGGAATCTAAGCTGAAGTGTTATGAACACTGTAGCCAGTATTCCTAGTTACATCTTAAGCCATGGAAGAGGTCCATCAGGATTAAATTGCTGCATGGCTTTGTGGGAGCCATTGTCTCCTAAAGTCTAGCAAAGCCACCACTACTGAAAGAAGATTACAACTTTTACTCGTTATTCACTAGCTGTACATCTGATACTAATCTAGGAATGTCACTAGCTTCTCAGTATAAAAACAGATACTTCCTATTGACTGGTGCCATGCATCTCTAAATCAACAGTAAAGGAAAAGGAAGCTCCCTTAAACAGTAACTTTAGAACAAGTAAGAGTTGTGGGGGTGTCCAGTTTCTTTTTGCCTGGAAAATTCTCATGTTAACTGTACAATTACACCTACTTAAAGTTAAAATCTTTTTTTTTTTAATTAACTTCCCTGCTGTGGTTTTGGCATACCTTTCATAGACCCAGTCAGTTTTGAAAGAGGTGAGAAACAGAAGATGGCCACCTCCTAAGGGTACTGAAATAGATGATGGAAGTGAATGAAACTGATCCAATCTATAAGCAGATTTATGTTTCTGACTGAAGCCAGCACAGACCATGCCAACAGAATTTAAAAAAATAAACCTAAGATTAACACTATAGTCAAGTATGCTAATTTTAAATTTTATTGTAGCTACAAACCAGAACACTGGTATTCTTTGTTTTCAAAGGCATGCCACCTGGATCCTGCTGTTGCCTCTGACCTTGAAGTGGCAGCTAATCTTGGGAGAATTTAGCATTTCCTTTAATTATGACTGGTATATAAATGTATTTCCTACAGTAAATCATCATTAATCTCCAGCAATTACAGACTGTGCCTTACTTACTGCTTGCTTTTCAACTTTCTCTAAATTCTTATTTAAAGCAATTTCCTGATTCATTTTATCTAAAATAAAGAAAAAAGCTCACACTCTTTCTTTAACTGAGATGAAGCCAAGGCAGACTTTTTAAAATAGTATTAAAGACTTAAAGTTTTATTAAGGACATTTATCTGGGAACAGATATATTTTCTTTATGTCATACTGCTATATAGCACATGAATCAAACCAAAACCAAATAAAAACAGTTGTTTCCTTTCTGCATATGTAGTGTTTCTTTTAATATTCTGAAAAGTTTCAACCCAAACTTGTCTAGTTTTCACATACAATCCATTCCGAGGCTATGGCCATTTTTAAACCTTATCTTTGTTAGTGGTATGTATACTTTCTTTCACGTGCTTTCTAATGCATCTAGATCTACTTAAGTGTCTTTACACATTTTACTCTTGGATTGCAGAGATTTGAAGTTGGAAGCTAGCCTGTAAGACACTAAGCTTTACAGTTCAAGCCATGCCAGCTTGTAAAACTAGAAAATACTACTTACAGAACTATGGGAAAAAACCTCCAAACATGAGTATGGAAATATTCAATATACCTTCACAGCATGAAGCCTGTTTTCCTTAATCCTTCATATTGCATTTCTATTGCCTCTGTTTGTGTTAGAAATTGTTGAAAACCTTTTGGCTAGGAGTATGTCTGAGCAATGTCATGCTCAATCTTTTATCGAAAGATACTTTGATTAACCACTAGTAAAACTTAATTGCTATGGTAAGCTTGCACATTTCTAAATACCCACTTACTTATAAAACTTTTTAAGTGCCGAATTTGGCTTGCTTCTTAGGCCTGTGCCATGACCTGAAAACTTTCCTGAATCTGTTGGAACAGAAAACTAGATGTTACTAAATTGTTGATTAAATATAGAATACAGATAGCGTGTACCTTACCAATTTTAACTGCAAGTAGTTTTTCTAAGAGCACAACTGTACTGAATTGAAAAGACAGTAATGAGTGTCACCTTGGGATTTCTGATGATGTTTAATTATTTAGATGTGCATTGACCATATTTACATATTTTTACATAAATTAAAAAAATAACCAAAAGCAAAAAACCACTGAAGACAGTTTCCTTTCCTGGTATAAAATAAGGGAAATATCTGAAGGTTGTTTGAAAGTGGGGTATTTGAAGAAAAGAGCCCTGAGTAATATCAGGGAAGTTATTATTAGAATGGTTTAATTAAATGTCTGCTTGATCATTCATAGAAGCAATTCATAAGCACTAATCTCTGAACTAACATTTAACACAGGCATTCTGTTAGGACATACCAGTTTACAATACATAATTTTGACACAGACTTCAAAGCAATGTAGATATTTCTTATGAAACTAGTGCTGTCAAACTCATTCATTAGTTGTCAGTACAGCCTCACTATCAAATACTGCAATCCAGTTGTGATATTTATTGCTTACAAATGCTTCAAACTACAGGAAATCTTTGGTAAAAACAAAATTGATAAAATTTTCACAACAGCTTTACATGTAGTATTGCACAACAAGGCTTTTTCAATACACAAGAAAAAAAAGAGGAATGCTCAGATCCTCAGTGAGGAGATTAGAACTGTACAACATTCATTAGTTTTCCACTATAAGCAAAATTTCTTTTCATAAATGTTTAAAATATTTTCTGGTTTCTTTCAGCATATATGAACATTTATTTTTCAATCTATATTTGAAACAGAAGAGTAGTCAAATAGAACAATTTAAATAAAAATTGGCAGCTATACAGCATTGTTTTGTCTACCTTACTACAGCATCAGATCTTTTCAAGTCTGTTTACTTCACAAAAAACTCAAGAAGAAAGAAAAATGCTAAAAATAATCATAGTCCTCAGCCCTCTATGGAAAAGAGGAAAATAAGTTTCATGTCTATTATCGAACATAGACATTTCTCTAGTGGTCCAGTTGTGCAGATTCAAACCTAAGTGGCATTAAGCTGCTCTAAATGAGCTCTCAGCTCAGGACACAGTTCAGTTAGCAGCAGTTCCAGCAAAACCTGAAAAAGAGAAACAAGTTAAGATGATGCAGGTGCCGACCAAATGAGAATTTCTGCTTCCCTTCTGTCATGTTTAGAGCATCACAGATGACAGAAGCATGTACATTCGATTCTATTCATCATTCATGCAACTACTTTCCTTTCATCCTGAAGTTAGCACATGCCCTACAGAAAACACGGGAAATGTCTTAAGGCTGAAAGGAGGCAAGTGCAAAGGGCAGCTGCTTTCAGATGGGGATTTCCCACCCAGTATAAACTGTCACTGTTCTGCCAAAGACTCTGTAGCATGATAAGCAAGCACCAGAGCATGCATCTCATGCATCTCCTGAACAGGCTGCATCCTCTCCAGTGCTAAGGCTGCACTGTGTGATGGGCTGGTGCCCAAAATGAGCCAGAAGAGACTGACTGAGCGTGAAGGCGTTATACTTAGATCCAGCTGCATGCTCCAACATAGTCCCACCAACAGTTGAGGAGTGGGACTTTTGGAGTCCTGTCGTGTCCTAACTACAAGGTAGTTCTGGAGCCCTCCTTCCCTAGGATTCTCCAAGATATATTTATTTTTCTAAGCTGTATGAAGAAATTAGTTTGCACCTTATGAAGTCAGGAAAGCTGGATGTGATAGAGGATCTCTTTGAGACAAAAGCAATGCTGCTGTTAAACAGCCTTTTGTTATTTAAACTTAGTCAGGGGATCAAACCAAGTACATTTTTCCCACTTACTTTAATAACAAAAGAAGTTACTTGCACACAGACCAATAGTTCAAATTAAATCACTGGCTTTAATACTGAGTGAATAGAGCTCAGCAATTAACAAGATCATGAAGTTAAAAAGCTACTTTTCTGGTTACTTACATAAAGTAGATGCTTGTTAGCCTTCCTTTCTTGCAACGCATTGAACACTTTCACTACACCATGACGGGCATTTTGTTGTCCAACAAGATTCTGCAGAGTATCTGCAACAAATGTTACTTCAGCTTATATTGCTTTACTCCTGCTAGGCAAAACCTCCAGCCTATACTACTACCCAGAATCACAGAATCGACCCCATCAGGATTGGAAAAGACTTTCAAGATCATCTGGTTCAACCGTAAGGACCCATAAAGGAGGGGAAACAAAGCCACTGCACTTCAGTGGCCCTTGGTTACAAGATACACAG